ACGCCCGAGTCAAGCAAAACGATTACACTAATAAACGGTTTGCTTTTTTTATTTTAAATTCCAGAAGCAGAAGTTTATGCACCTGTGGGATCAACTTAGTGCTAGGGCATTCAAATTATAACAATAAGATAATTTCTATAGTGTCACTTTTTTGGGGGACACCCTGTACAGTAATGATGGAAATAACTGAATATAATAACATCACATGATGGCTTTGCCATTCATCATCCCAAATTATTAATTATACAGCATGGCCAATAACCATTACTAAAATGGATAATAAAAATGAATGAAACTATTTACTCAATCAAATTATCCAAACAATTTTAAATTTAATGTTCTGTCACAAATACTTTTTTCTCGTTTCGCTCAATTTAAGATCATCTATCCAATCACCCTGTGAAATGCTCTTTTAACCCAAGGGCAAACCATGCATTTGTTATGGCTTATTAAGCGACAAGGCTTCGTATGTCTCACTATATGGTAATTAAACAACGACGCTTCGTTGCTGGTTTCGTTTACTCTTTCCATTAAAAATGTAATGAGATGCACTAATTAAAATTACTTTTTTAATCTCACGTTGTTCAGCCTGCAATATTGATTGGCAGGTTCGTAGTTTGGATTTTTTTATTTCTTTATTCGTCAAAGACTGCGTATGTTAAGTATACATACAAACTGAATATCAAACTGTTTGAAAACGTTTCTGGATCTAAATAAAATGTTATAATTCACATTTTATTGTGGCAATATTGTTGGATGCATTTATACTGACTGGTGTCATCTCTATACAAAATATCCGCACTTACAGACGAGAAATTCCGCGTATAAAAATCAACCGTTAAGTACAGGCGCCAATGGATAGCAGCAATACCAGTAATAATACGAACAACGCAGTTCCTGCAGACTATATCCAGGGTACAATATTGACGTTGGCTGTTATCTTAGGAGTACTTGGGAATATTCCTGTCATCGTGTCCATAGGTCAACAACGAAGACTTCTGAAAAATAACCACTATTATCTCATTCTCCACTTGGCAATTTGCGACTTGTTCTTTCTATTGTTCTTTACACCAAGTATTTACTCCATTTTTACTGCGAACCCTTCCAAAACATTCTTGTGTAGGATCTGGTTACCTACACACACTATGTTTTTTACTGCCGGAGCAAACTTTCTAGTTTTAATTTCCTTGTGTCGCTATCGCGCAATTGTACACCCGCTCAAACCTGCTGTAAGCGGCAAAGCTTTAAAAGCACTTTCAACTTTTGTCTACGTATTGGCAATAATTTGTGTCGTCCCACAAATGTTGGTGCTACGATTTGATGAAGCTTTTGGCTGTTATGAAGAATGGACTATGGAATCACTAAATATTACTTACACTATATTCCTTACAAGTGTTCAATACTCTATACCAGTGGTGTTCCTATCTATTATGTATTTTACGATATGCAGGAAACTGCTCACACACAATAACAAGTTAAGGCTGATGAATGCTCAGATCGGACAAGGAAACACGAGGAGACTCACATTGTTCCAACGTCTGACATTTCGAAATGCAAAAACCTTTTATGTGAGCTTCATTATAGTTATCTGTTTCGTAGTTTCGGCATGTCCTGCGCAGGTGATCTGGCTTGTCTCTGTAATCGGTTCAAAGGAATTGCAAAGCTATAAGAGATGGTTTGAGGCTGTGTACATTTTCGGCACATGCGCAATTAACCCTTACGTTTATGGTGCATTCGATAAGAAAGTATTTTCTCTTTTTATCAAACATTGTCGAAGGAGAACAATCGGGTAGAAATTTGAAATACAGTTAATCAATATACCTATTTGAAGAATATGTGCAGCTTACATGCTCTTATTATTTCAATTTGTTCGCGTTGATTGGCGCAGTGAATTTCAAGTGGAAATTCCACACACAAACATATGCAATTGTTGCTTTTTTGTGAACAACTAGTGTAACGATAATCAAACATTTAACAACTGCACTTGCATTTCTTGAAACGAACAGTTGAAATATAAACTTCAAAAGTTTCAAAATTGTGCAGCAAAATCAGACTGTAGATGCATGGTGCTGAGTAAGAAGATCAGATTTGTTGATGCTCGTTGATCCCTTGGTTAGAATAATGTAGAGAAAATATAAAGTACAGCCAAATCAATATACCGTTGTACAAAGTCCTGAATAATTACGCTTGACCGAATTTAATGGCAATGTTTTTATGAGCGAAATAATTATGATCTTAGAAATAGTCACACTTATTATTTTGGCAGTTCCAAAGCCTAATAGGTATTACGAATGTGAGACGGCGACGTCAAGACGACGGCTGTCGATACAATGACATTCAAACACTCATTAATAATTAATAAGCTTATTGGCAAATCATGTCAACCATAATATGTCACGTGCAGTGGCTTTAAACCTGATAAAACACTCCTAATTAGTATTCTTTATATAAAGAATACTAATAAGGCAGTATCTATTGTTGTTGTGTCCTCATTAGTATTTTTTATATAAAGAATACTAATAAGGCGGTATATCTATTGAATTTGTAGTCGTGTTTGAAGCCGTTTAATAAACTCGCAGGTCGTGTTTTATTAGGTCTAAAGCCACTCGCGCTGCGCGCTCGTGTCTTTAAACCTAATAAAACATTCCTGCT